GGACAGCTCAGAATCAATTAGACGATTTGGACTTTGCAGATGACCTAGCCCTCCTATCACGTACACACGAACAGATGCAGACAAAGACAACCAGTGTAGCAGCAGTCTCTGCATCAGTAGGCCTCAACATACACAAGGGGAAAACTAAGGTCCTCAAATTCAAAGCGGAGAACAGCAATCCAATCACTCTTGATGGCGAAACTCTGGAAGATGTAGAGTCCTTCACATACCTGGGAAGCATCATCGATGAACAAGGAGGATCCGATGCAGACGTAAAGGCGAGGATCGGCAAAGCAAGGGTCGCATTCCTACAATTGAAGAACATATGGAACTCAAAACAACTTTCAACCAATATCAAAGTGAGAATCTTCAATGCGAACGTCAAGGCAGTTCTACTGTACGGAGCTGAAACTTGGAGAACTACAACAACCACAATCAAGAAAGTACAAGTATTTATAAATAGCTGTCTTCGCAAGATACTCAACATCCATTGGCCGGATACCATCAGCAACAGCCTTCTGTGGGAGAGAACAAACCAACTTCCAGCTGAAGAAGAAATTAGGAAAAGACGATGGAAATGGATAGGACATACATTACGCAAATCGTCAAACTGCATCACGAGGCAAGCCCTAACTTGGAATCCTGAAGGGAAGCGAAAAAGAGGGAGGCCAAAGAACACATTGCGTCGGATAATAGAAGCAGATATGAAAACGATGAATTACAACTGGACGGAGCTAGAAAGGATTGCCCAGGACAGGATTGGATGGAGAATGCTGGTGAGCGGCTTATGCTCCTTTACGAGGAGTAACAGGCGTAAGTAAACTATGCATACTCATATTCCTCTTATTATAAGCTTTATCTTGACCCATAAACTATTATTATACGTTTTATCATTCTTGAGTTATACCTAGTATATTGGTCACTGCCTCCCACATTCTCAGCCACATTTGGCCAAATATTGTACAAATGTTATTTTCTATTTTATGGTACGTTGTGGTCTATTTGATTGGTATATAAACACAGTATGTTTGAAACATAATGATTCATATCGCAGAGGCTCGGATTGGTGTTCTGGACTTAATTGGCTGGGCTAGACAGGAAGTGAGGTCAATCAGGACTCTAGGCTGCTCGTACGGGTTTTACGCCTCATTGATCCGATCGATAAGTCACTGCTCTCTAATTGGCGGTCACAAGATATAACATCTATGCGTTTACTCATTTGGATGAAATGGTCAGAAGTCTAAAATTTTCTGTTCCTTTATTTTAATCAAGTTTGAATTATTATCCTTATACATGGAAATAATTAGGCAACAAAAACTGGGGTTTCATGCAAGTATTTATATGATGGTATCAATCAAATGATAAGGAGAAATGCAACTAGCCGTCTGCTTAATGACTCGTCACATTTCTACCATGATCATACTAAAAAAAATACGATCACACACGGTAACAAAATACAACTTCACATTCTTCATTCTTTCAATTCGTAAATTGGTTCGCAAATATCCTTTATAATTTTTATTTTAAAACCTAATCGAAATGTAAAATACTTAAAAGACAAAATAGGGATAAGTAAATAACCAATGTAAGGATAGTGAGTAAATTTTATAAGGAAGAAAATTGATTTATTGTACAAAACACTGTAAGTTTAATGTTAAGTCAATCATTTTAAACAGCAATTTAAACACTATGAGTTTTAGTACGTTTTTGAACTGTGGCTAACAGTGAGACCAAGGAGAATGTTGATGAATAACTTATTAAGGTTTGAAATGGTAAACATTAGGTCCGAACTCAAATATGAAAATCAATATTGGAATAATGGTGTGTTCAGTTGATAGCCCCATAAAGGACGAAACGTGTATCCTGAGCTTCACTGCTAGAAGCAACTCAGAATTGTGCTAGAACATGTAACTTGACGGAGTATCGAAGGACCCACTGAGAATGTACATTTGCCAATAGCGACTGATCAAATGTAATACTGAATATCGAACATATAATAATACAATCCCTTACAAGCAAACAATACAAGTCAGGGAGAATTTTCAAGACGCAGTCAGATCATAATTCAATATTTAAAAAAATCCATCAGTGGTTTTCCTTTCAGAATTTAAACTCATGATCTCAGGTTAATGGTAAGCTACTATTATTTAAATTACGAATTGGAATCTTATATGTAATGAGATACTCGTAGGCTGTATCTGTATCTCGCATTATAATAAAGAAAGAATTATGGTAATGTTAGCAATTTTTGAATAAAGCCTTTGATTATATTACCACACTGTTGCTTGAAAACAGCTTTAGGGCCTCTTATAAACTATTAGCTTAAAAGATAGACAAAGTTCCATAAGAAGAAAAACAGGTGGTAACTGATTGTACGTTCTTGGTATTAACTTAAGAATTCTGTCTTCTACCTTTTATGACTATAACTAAAGTTAATTATTCCGGGAGTCCCTATCATAATTTAATATAATATGCCAAACCACACATTTATGTACGGTAGTCCAGTGGACACACATTAGTCACTTTGTATTTATATTGATCAAATTGTGTGTTTCCAAGTTCCTTAATCAGATTGTGAGACTGGTACATATATACGTAGTTGGTAATAAGATGTGTTTTATTATATTAATACCAGTATGCTCACATTCATGCGCAATCAAGTTCTTATTCTTTCTTAAATGAAACAAACTTTTATTAACTACACAAGCAAACACGTTTTTAAAATCACAACTTACAATCACGTAAAATTATCAGATTATGTTAGGAATGTATCAAACTTTTAGCTAGACTGGGCTTATTCAGTTTAAGATCTTGCTATGAGTGATTTATCATCCCATAAAGTAATGCTATCAACCTGCTTTTAGAGTTATTTAACAGAAAGAGTAACGATAACGTAAGGCTATATCAAATTAAAACAACTTATGAAGTAAACTCTTTATGCAAACATAAATAGAAATTATATTAACTCGTTTACCATTTCCTTCTAAATTTACTTCTTTCACATTCCTCTTTATCGCGTGCGCCCTTATTGAAGTAAACCCTCTCGTTTTTGCTTAGGTTTTTGGACCATTTCTCTTTTCTGTAGATCTTAATCGCGCTTTACTTTACTCCGTTATTTATCTCTTACTTATTATCATACTCTTATTTACTGATATTGCTTGTTCAATGTCGAATAAGGTATTAATTTCATCTAGACTCTAATGTAGCATCTCTAAGTTCTTGTGGTAAACAAGTTACTTAGTTTATTCTCTTTTAAGTTCATCGTATTCATATGTACTTAACAAAAGAGAAAGGACTTTTAAAAAATCTATTCACTTCCTTTAAAATTAGGCATATCACAAAATATCAGATGCATCCCGTTGGTATTCAAAAAAAATAAAAATACACAAATGGAGCTGAGTCGTAAAACTGCGACTGAAAATCTAATTTATACTAAGGAGTAACGTTGATCGGAAAACCACTGGAAACTAGGAAGCATTAGACAAATGTTTTATTTAATTATGGAATACCTATAGTGTGTAAACTGAACACCGCATCGAGTTGAAATCCATATCGCCAGGCTTCGTGCCGAACACCTAACCTTCAGACATATTAAATTGGCATTCAATTACTGGCGAATGCGGAAGCCAAAAATCTACTCACGTGTTAACATACACAATGTCATATAACAACAATGATAATCTACCAATCAATAAGTTATCTTGATATAAGGGATTTGTGGAGATTCTAGAATTTTCGCAGTTTATATCACGAACTGATTTCAGATATCCCACTATTGAAAAACTAGAAACAGTGAACGGTCATTTCGTTTTATTATGGGACTATTCAGTAGTGTGCACCCATAACCCTGCGTGCGGGAATCAAACCCCCGGTTTTTGGTCTCGTGTGTAAACATTTAACCTCTAAACCACTGAGCTGGGATTCGACGGTGTTAATGTCTAACTTTAATCAACTCATGATTTTTGGAAATTCCACTCCACAAATCCATTACACTACTTATATTTCTATCCTCAATGTTGACTAGCTTCAAGATGTAACTCCTGAAGTTTAGTGAAAATCTGTGACCAGTGAAGTTCTATCCGTGTTGGGTATAAGACAATTATTCAACACAGAACGTGGATGAGTGTTTCACAATATCTTGCATTGATCAAAGGTAGACATTAAAACCACTGGATCCCATCAGCAATCTACCACTTCAAAATAATTGAGCAGATCGCACGTGGTTGAGTCCGGTTTCATGAAACTCGGATTCTTAATTTTTGACTCTCAAGGAAAACATAAAGCATTTTATAAACCCTCACTTACTGTGCTTTGATTAAAACAAATTTTTGTTTGTTAAAATTGATGAATAGAGTGCTAATCGATAGATGAACGCCATGATTTAATGTTACCGATTGATAGTTACTTACCAGATCTTATTGTTAGCTTAGGCCCCCGAGTGACTAGAAATTAAAGACAAGACTACTAGCCAGATGAATAGTTTCCATCTAATAAAATAACATGCTTTTATACAGAATATGCACACAAAGGATCGAGGGAGAAATTAGCTTGTAGGTCACTCATTTTCCAATCAATTAAGATACGGCTGTTAGGCCGAGTCTTTGGGAATCATATCATTTGTGTACATTTTAGTTATCCATAAATTAAAGATATTGATATGACCATTATTCTACTAGGTGGTGACAACTTTATATATGGTAACATTTCCTTCTCAAATTTGTTGAAAAGATTATCACCAATATAAAGCACACTATAGTATTAACTAAATCTATTAATAAAACTATTGTAAATATGCACTCCTGTTGACAGCGTTATCCTTTCCTGGGTAAATCGCTTGATTATTATAATTCTATTGTCACCCTAAACAACAACGTCAACAACAAATATCACCAAAAATTATCCTATTGAGTTAACAGTTTCACTGATCATCTCAAAATTACATTATTCAAGATATCATAAAGTCATTCAAGGGATATATTTCATTTTATCAAAATTGTTACCTTTTTCGGAGGTAATGGTAATCCTCTTCGTCTAGCCTCTTCTTCTTCATGTTCACGAAGACTTTCTTCCCACTGACGCATACGTTTTCTACGTCGTTCACGTTTACGTCTTATTATGTCATAGAAACATCGACAACAAACCAAATTTAAGAAGATCAAACGAAACCCTCGTGCAAGTAAATTACCAATAATAGCTAGATAGATCAGCATTAATGGTATACCAATGATAGCATAAATAATGCAGGTTATTCGGCCCCAAAATGTAACTGGTGCAATATGTCCATAGCCTTAAGAGAGGGAGAGAAAAAAAGATTAAATCTAGCAATCCTGTTTACGGTTCAAAAAATCAACTTACTATGACCGATTTTCTCAAATACTATTGGTTAGAAGGTAAGTTATCTACAGACAAGGTGAGCATAAAATGTCTAGGTAGTAGGTCTTACATAAGTGATATTTTGGATAGTGATCGTTTTGTAATCAGATTCGAATGTCGAAGGTGAATACACAATTATCGTAAGCCTATTAGGTCGACAGACAATAACAAAAAGTTTCAGCAATGACAGGATCAGCAATAACGTCTTTGACTACAAAACTGACTGATGTAGACTTTAATTTCACGAACAGACTCAGTTCTCTCAAGGTGCAGATACTTCTTGTTGATGAGTTTTAACTAACACAAAACTTAGGTCTGACATCCAATGAAGGACTATTGTGGAAAATAGAGAGAACTAGAGAGAACATCATGCTAGTTTTAGGATATTCAATGGTAAGCATCAACCAGCCCACACAAAACAGAACATTTAAATCACTTAGTCAAAATACAATGGTCCATATCTCTAAATATCAGTCAGTTTATGAATGAATTCCAGCTCAGCCGCGATAAGACAGTGAGTATAACTTCCCTTACATTGGTTGTATGCACGTGGCCATGTGAGAGCATTTCGAGAGGGAGAGCGAACTCTCCCCACTCTCGGCCGTACCGGGGCATTTGGGGGCTGGTTCATGTCACTAAGATGTTCAGAACTTGAATAAAACAAATATTCAGTACATTATCATTTGACAATTTTTCAACTGAGGTTAATTCTCTATAAAAATTCCTTACATGCTATAAAAAATCCCTAGTTTTCATTTATTTTCGAATTGACATGATACGATTCTAGAATATGCTAGAAATTCCCAAGTAAACAACTTGAATGTTTAGTAGTGACTAGGTGTGAAATGTAATTCTTTAAAGTTCTTCTTCAGGTATATTCTGGAAAAAATGATTTATATGTATGGTATTTTGTTGAAGATTAATTGAAGAAAAATTACCACCAGACTAAACAAAATTGATTAACTTTGATCAGTTACTTTATTTTCATTTGATTTTCTGAAACAAAAATGAGACTAAGCACCAGTTAAACTGGTATAACTTTGAAAATTCTGTGCATATTTCTTTTGTATTTATGATTCCTCTTTCATCGTTTATATTAGTTGACGGACACTGTAATGATGTTTCCGGTGATTACAATATGCAATCTAATATTGAAAAAGGTTTGTAAAAGAATTTATTTATATCAGGTTTTTGTGAATATTATAGCAATTTTATTAGTTATGGTCATAAGTCAATTGAAGCTATACACCCATGGAAAACCTGGAAGTACTGTGCGGCCGTTTCGTCCTGTTGTGCGAATCCTCAGCAGTGCGTATCCACGATCCCGCCTTATGAGATTCCAACCTAGGATGTATCAGTCTCGTGCGCGAACGCCTAACCACTAGACCACTGAGCTGACCGTCATCTAACGGTGTTAATGTCCAACTTCATCCAATCCACGAAATTGAGCGACCCATCCACCATTGTCATCAGTGAGTTACTATCTCACAACCGACCTGGTTGGACTGCATTAGTCACTGCTTCTCACCAGAACTCCAAGAAATACCTCTTGAAGCCAGTCACTAGTGAGTATATGTTGATTAGTATCAGAAGGGGATTTGTTGATATTATACTGCGCGGTAGTGGTGGTCTAGCTTCAATTGACTCATGACCACAACTAATAAAATTACTATAATGTCCACAAAATCACTTCTGATACTAAACGGTTACTTGTATTTTTGTTAAAAGTGACAATAATAAACTTTAAAAAAAATTAAACTGATATTATAAGAATAGGGGTCAAATAACATCCCGTAGAAAACTAACTCGCTAAAAAAACGCTAACCAGAAAAAATTATTCAAACCTTTTAAACTCTGCCCTGGGAGTCAGAAGATCTTCATTTAGAAGAATTATGACGCCTCATGATGAAAGCCGAATCCCTTCGGAAGTTACGAGGCCGATGCCCCTTCTGACAACTAGAGCGATCATTTATTTAGGTACATGGAATGTTCGTACAATGTGGGACACCGGAAGAGCCTTCCAGATTGCTGCAGAAATGAGAAGATACAACCTAGAGGTACTTGGGATCAGTGAAACACATTGGACACAAGTTGGACAACAACGACTAACTACAGGAGAGCTCCTGTTATACTACGGCCATGAAGAAGAAAATGCACCACATACACAAGGAGTTGCATTGATGCTGTCCAAACAAGCACAAAATGCACTTATAGGATGGGAATCTCATGGACCAAGGATCATCAAAGCCTCCTTCAAAACAAAGAAAAAGGGCATTTCAATGAACATCATCCAATGCTATGCGCCTACCAACGACTACAATGAAGACGCTAAAGATCAATTCTACAATAGGCTGCAGTCAATCATCGAGAAGTGACCAACAAAGGACCTGACCATTCTGATGGGAGATTTCAACGCCAAGGTTGGAACGGACAACACTGGATATGAAGACATCATGGGACGACACGGACTGGGAGAAAGAAACGAAAATGGTGAGAGATTTGCAAATCTATGTGCCTTCAATAAGCTGGTCATAGGCGGCACCATATTCCCACATAAACGCATACACAAAACCACATGGACTTCACCGGATCACACTACACAGAACCAAGTCGACCACATCTGCATCAACAAAAAGTTCAGGAGGACGATGGAGGACGTGCGAACCAAGAGAGGAGCTGATATAGCATCAGATCATCACTTACTGGTCGCCAAGATGAAATTGAAACTCAAGAAGCACTGGACAACGGGGCAGACAGTATCACAAAAGTTCAATACGGCCTTTCTCCAGGATACTAACAAACTCAACAAATTCAAGATAGTCCTCAGCAATAGATTCCAGGCCTTTCATGATCTACTCAATGGAGAAGGAACTACTGTGGAGAGCAACTGGAAGGGGATCAAAGAGGCAATCACTTCAACATGTCATGAGGTCCTGGGTCACAAGAAGCACCATCATAAGGAATGGATCACTGTTGGTACACTGGATAAGATTCAAGAAAGGAGGAACAAGAAGGCAGCGATCAATACCAGCCGAACAAGAGCAGAAAAAGCCAAGGCACAAGCTGAATACACAGAAGTAAACAAACAAGTGAAGAGGAGCATCAGAACCGACAAACGTATATACGTGGAAGATTTAGCAACGACGGCGGAAAAGGCTGGAAGAGAAGGAAACATGAAACAACTGTATGACACGACAAAGAAACTCTCTGGAAATCGCCGCAAACCAGAACGACCAGTGAAAAGCAAGGAAGGCAAGGTAATCACCAACATTGAAGAGCAACAAAACAGGTGGGTAGAACACTTCAAAGAACTGTTGAATCGACCAGCTCCACTGAACCCACCCAACATCGAAGCAGCACCCACGGACCTCCCAATCAATGTTGGCCCACCAACAATTGAAGAAATCAGCATGGCCATCAGGCAAATCAAGAGTGGCAAAGCAGCAGGACCGGAAAACATCCCAGCAGAGGCACTAAAAGCAGACGTAGCAGTAACTGCAAGGATACTCCACATTCTCTTCAATAAGATTTGGGATGAGGAACAAGTACCAAAAGACTAGAAAGAAGGAGTTCTGATAAAAATACCGAAGAAAGGCGATCTCAGCAACTGTGATAACTACAGGGGCATCACTCTTCTCTCAATACCGGGCAAAGTCTTCAAAAGGGTATTGTTAAACAGGATGAAGGACTGCGTAGACGCCCAACTTCGTGACCAACAGGCAGGATTCCGTAAGGATAGATCGTGTACAGACCAAATCGCAACTCTACGGATAATTGTGGAACAATCAATTGAATGGAATTCATCTCTCTACATCAACTTCATTGACTACGAAAAGGCATTTGATAGCGTGGACAGGACAACACTATGGAAACTTCTTCGACACTACGGCGTGCCTCAGAAGATAGTCAATATCATACAGAACTCATATGATGGATTACACTGCAAAATCGTGCATGGAGGACAGTTGACAAAGTCGTTCGAAGTGAAGACCGGTGTTAGGCAAGGTTGCTTACTCTCACCCTTTCTCTTTCTCCTGGTGATCGACTGGATCATGAAAACGTCAACGTCCGAAGGAAAGCGCGGGATACAATGGACATCTAGGATGCAGTTGGATGATCTAGACTTCGCAGACGATCTGGCCCTTCTATCCCAAACGCAACAACAGATGCAGGAGAAGACAAACAGTGTGGCAGCAGTAGGTCTCAACATACACAAAGGGAAAAGCAGGATTCTCCGATACAACACAGAATGCACCAATCCAATCACAATTGACGGAGAAGATTTGGAAGATGTAAAAACCTTTACGTATTTGGGCAGCATCATTGATGAACAGGGTGGATCTGATGCAGATGTGAAGGCGCGGATCGGCAAAGCAAGAGCAGCATATTTACAACTGAAGAACATCTGGAACTCAAAGCAACTGTCAACCAACACCAAGGTCAGGATTTTCAATACAAATGTCAAGACAGTTCTACTGTATGGGGCAGAAACTTGGAGAACTACAAAAGCCATCATCCAGAAAATACAGGTGTTTATTAACAATTGTCTACGCAAAATACTTCAGATCCATTGGCCGGACACTATTAGCAACAACCTACTGTGGGAGAGAACAAACCAGATTTCAGCAGACGAAGACATCAGGAAGAAGAGCTGGAAGTGGATAGGACACACATTGAGGAAAGCACCCAACTGCGTCACAAGACAAGCCCTCACATGGAATCCTGAAGGTCAAAGGAAAAGAGGAAGACCAAAGAACACAATACGCCGAGAAATGGAGATAGACATGAGAAAAATGAACAAGAATTGGATGGAACTAGAAAGGAAGGCCCAGGATAGAGTGGGTTGGAGAATGCTGGTCAGCGGCCTATGCTCCATTGGGAGTAACAGGCGTAAGTAAGTAAGTAAGTAAGGGGTCAAATAAATGTTTCAAAAACAATGAATCTCACATGTATATATACATGAATTTATGAAGAAAGTTAAGTGAATATTTGGCAGAATTTGAAAGTAATTTCTTGTCAGAAACTGATGGCTCATAAGTTGAATGCATCTATTTCACAGTGTCAACGTTTACACTGAGATCCGAATCCAGTAACTATTGCTTCATACACTAACACATTATCTACTGAGCTACGAGGCTTCGATTCGTAACATTTGAACGCAAGTAACAAAGGTGAAAAAACACAGATACTGAATTCTGCTACAACATCTCCATTTGAGTATAACAATATTTAAAATTAAAATAAGTTTTAAGCATTTAATAATAGTACATCAGTGAACAGGAAGGTTATTAAATTTCATCAGTTAGTCGAAACAGATCACTGATAGGAAAACAAATATAATACTTGCATAATTCGAAAAACTAGCAACCCAGATAATTATGTGAGTAGAAGAAGTGTTAACTCAGATAAATATTTTGGACTGATTTGATGAGTGAATATTAAAACTCAGTGAATTCATTTGTTGAATATCAGGACAATAGTCAATTAATAAATGGATTCATTTAAATTAGAAAATCATAACTTTTTATTTTGATTGACAGCCCTCAATCAAATATAAGAAGTTGGTGCAGGACCACACATTTTAGTGGGGATTTTTTCAATTATACTTAACAAAAAACAATGTTCAGATTGAAAATAAAGACTTAAAAAAAGTTATATATCTGTGGGTAGGCTACTTTTTGCATTTCCTGACCCAATATGAGTCCTCAAACTTATGATGAGAATGTAGACTCTCAAAACAGAGTAAGCAAACAGTTAAAATATTTCATTAGGATTCGAATGACTAATACCATAAAACCTAAGAATATATTGACACTATATGAAATACTGAAAATTTATTTTGAAAAACCGATAGAATAGTCAGTATGGAGTTGCGGAGATTGCTGAGCTTTCGATTGAGATCATGGATTGACCAGTGTTGGACCACGATTAAAAGCCTGGGAGCACTGGACGGCCGTTTCGTCCTAGCACGGGACTCAGTAGTAAGTATTCGCGACCCCGTACGCGGGATTTGAACCCAGGATCTTTGTTCTCGCGCTGGAACGCTTAACTTCTAGACCACCGAGTCGGCATACAGCGCTGTTAATGTCTAACCTCAACCAGTCCGCGAAATCGCGCGAATACCTTCTATTGTACTGAAGTAGAAACCTGTCTCTATCTGACATGGATTAGCTCTACTAGTCACGGCTTCTCATTAAAACTTCGAGAATTACCTCTCGAAGCTAGTCACTAGTGAGCATATGGCAATTATGAGTATGGGGTTATGGAGATTGTTGAGTTTTTGATTGACATCATAGATCAACCAGTGTTAGACCACCATTGAAAACCTAGAAGCACTGGTCTTGGAATTTTCTGCTTAAAAAGTCGATTTTCTTAAACACAAATCCTGTTATTTTCAATTTGTTGAATTATTTATAAAGGTAAAAAGCAAAAATAACGGTCAATTTCTTTTCAGTAAAACAAATATTTTGATCCAGTAATTTGAAGAGTTAATGTCCATTACGATAGAACCCGAATACCATCAGTTATATTTTGGATAATTCTCTACAGTATAGTCCAAATACAGTTATTCTTCTGTTTGTGACTTATCATTTGGTTGCATCTGGAACGTACTATTGATGTTCTTAATAAGACTGAAAACTAATATCTATTACTTCAGACATCCAAACACTCTCTGCCGAACTTATGTGTTATCATATCCATTAGATAGTCTTGAAATCAGTTGGAATTATTCGATATTAGAAAGTTTTAAAACAATACAACAGTAATCTGCTAGTTTTCTTTCAAGAGAAATATTCTTCATTGTTTTCACTTACCTATAGTTGTTATTACCGTTACACAGAAAAAAATTGAATTAACTAAATTCCATTTTGAACCATCTGGTGTATCCAATATAGCTGTACAATTTGTTGATGGTTTCACGTCTAACGCAAATAAATCATTTGCATAATCATTCAGCATACTCAGAATAACTTCATCTAATGTCTGTGTATTATCCACATTACCAGAATCAATTGATTTTATCGTGCCAATGACCCTGAGTGTAGTTGAATTGAGTTTCTTCAAATAACTACTCTGACGTTGAAAACAATCTTGCGCTTCATTGTATATTTCAAGTGATCGAAATATAAAACCTCCAGCACATAGGTATGCAATTAATAATAGAGTTAAGCCAATATTTTTGAGGATTATTTTTAAATAATGTAAACAATATTTTCCAGAACGACGTTTTTTTGTTTTAATAGTTGAAACGATGGAACTGCCATATTCATCAACAACTTCAGTTGTGATAGTTTTCGATGTAAAATTAAAGTCATTAGATAGTTGTGTTTCTTCCATGGAGTAAAAGAACCACTTCACAATTGACTGGTATTTACCAGTCCACTAATGCTTTAATCATCATATATATACTCAGATAATAAAGTGAATAATTATGATTGGTTAAATAAGCATGTTAATTGGTAACCTTTTTTGGTTGATAGAGGGATAGACATGTATATGATATAAATTTTCACATCATTATTTCAAATTAGTTGAACAAACAAAATGAGTTTACAAGAATTCATTTTAATCAAATAAGGGTATCAACATGCATTATCATATCTAGCTGCTTAATCCACATTTAATGTAGGATCAACATTATATACTTATTAAGATATTGGAATAATGGTAAATGTTATTTATTATTATGATTTACCGTTTGAGGGTTAGTTGTAATAAACTATTTACCCTTCTAGAATTTAATTTCATTAGTGGATACCGTAGTAATTTCATCTGAAGATTAATTTATCATTGTTAATACCTTAAGAATTATTCGTTCTTTTCAAGAATCGTTGTTTGACAATGAATACTTCGATGTTAGTATTTAGGCCAGGTTTGCCACCGATTATACATATTTACAAGATTCTGTATTTCGATATTCGATTATATACAAAATACAAAGGTATTTATAGGACCTCACATGATAGTAAGATCTTAGAAGCTGTCCGAAAGTATGCTAAAATAGGTAGTTGTCTGATCGGGGTAAGAATAGAACAATAAAACATCGTAAAGATTTCTATTAACAGTTTCCTAAGAGCATTAACTGGTCGAAGTAATTTCAGAATTTTTTCTGACTCTTCCAAGGAATTATTGAAGACTTCTGACAACACTGAATTTCAGTGATTCTACAGATGTAAATCAGCCACGGAAAATTTTCTTATTCCCGTGTCCAAATAGCCACTTCTGTTTTAACACCACCTTATTATCAAATACCTAAACAATTATTAGGAATTAACGAGCAAACCAGATAAATCATGTCACTAGATCTATAAAAATGTTGTACGTTCTATGGTGTTGATAACTGACAGAAAACAACACAATCCTGATAGACTTTATAACATGACTTTTTAGTTTTATCTTAAGGTTTAGTTCGATTTGGTCTATCGTAACTAAGAATACAAACGGTGAAGAAAGTTCTAACGAGGATAGACTATTGGGAACTCGAAAAGGCAGTAACTGATACGCACCTCTTCAGCGATAATCCCCAAAGATGTAACCGAATAAGATATTAGAAGTGCAGAAGGCAATTTGATGTTTACAAAGACAGAATCAAAGTGAAACAAGTCTCTGTGAAATCAATAAACATGACCGTGATTCAGAAAAGTTAACAAACATCATGCAGAGAAAATTGTACCTATAATTATCGTTGCAAGAAAGAAATAACGCATATTCACAAGGAACCAGACAACCTGGATTTCTTCTAGCAAATGGTACCAAAGTCAAGCTGTATGATTCAATCTGCAAAATTCAGTTACTGAACAGATTTTAATTATTACATCAGTCACTGTATATATCTAAGTGTTGAATGAATGAAACAATATAGGACAGTTTGAAAAAGATCCTGAACATAATTTTATTTAAAAAAATACTTTCTCGTTGTTTCTATTAGAGACTAATTAATTTATCTTCGTTGTTATATGTTGTGCCATCAGTGGATTATTTTTTATCTTATCCTTTGATCAGTTTTCATTATATTTGAACTATGACTGGTAGTAAAATCCAAAACCCTTGATTTGATGCGAATAGTGTGGCTTACTGATGACATACTTGTTTACAGCATAATTAAGATAAACATGATTTAAATTCGCTTAAGACGTAAATGATTATTGGATTGTAAAGTTGACGGAACCTTTTTCACAATTCATATAAATTTTCTTGTTACGCTAAAGTAATTTTAGTTAGTACTACTTTGGTGCACCTTTCAATAGCACAATATTTACAGAAAGCTATTCATTCATCTAGCTCAACCTCTGAAAGTAACGACTTAAATCTTAATGATTTACTGATGACAGCCAGCGAAAAAGCTTTGCTTTTTTTTCCTAATACTGTGGAGTGGATGATTGGGGATGAATATGTTTAGATGTAATGCTAATGGGTAACAATTTGTTTGCGACTTTGTATTTTATCCATACTGTTCTAGTTTCACAAATCATCTGTTGACTACATCTTACTAATTATAACTTACCATGTATTTATTGCGCAAATAAATTAACTACAATACCTAGCGAATACTTGCAGTTAAGTTTAGCACGATGGAACAATTGAAATGAGAAATTTATGGTCGACTTGAATTGACTCAGAAACGAATGTCAGGCTTAACATTTATAAGAATCTTCTCTAATCTTTCTGTATTCCCCACTAAACCTAGATCATTTTATAGATACCCTCTTTTAAAATTCTTCTCGATCCCCATTACATTCTAATGCTTTCATTTTCTTAAGGCATTAACTTAATCTAAATCTTAAGAAACTCGACAATATTCACTATCCATATTTACCAATAAATACTCCATACTCATTTATCGACAATCAAATCAAAACCTATCACCTGGCCTTATCATAATCCAAGCTCTAATATTAATCATATTGAAGCCTATATTCAATGACTATTTGAATGATTGTGTTATAACTGTGAAAAATAATGCTGCTGATTAAGGGGTAGCGAATTATTGATCGGACCAAAGACGCACAAACACGTAGAACGGCCTAGGGTTCTGATTGGTCCCGCTTCCCTTTCTAGCCCAGCCAGTCGAGTCCAGAACACAAGTCTCAGCCTCGGATATATGAATCATTATATTTCAAACATACTTCGTTTATATACCAGTCAAGCAGACCACAACGTACCATAAAATAGAAAATAACATTGTACAATAATGGCCAGTAGGAAAATGACACGTTAAATAAATATTGACCAATAAGATGATACCATTTCATGTCCAAGGATAGCATTAGGCTTAACAGGATAATTTTTGGGATATTTTCCTGAATATCCCAACAGATTGTAATTCATATTTATTTACAAATGAATTTATGTTCCGATTTCATTGAGATTATAATTGACTCCAGTTTAAGGTTAGATAGAATCACGATATCGATCAGATCGACTAGTTCTCCATATTCATAGCATGAAGAATTACCCCGAATTGTTCAGTTAAGCAGATTTAGCTATCTTGATTATTCTAAAACTAGTACCATTGAGAATCATGATAGTATGGGACATTTTTGTCCAAGATTTGAATATATCTTTTTAGTGGTGTAAGAATTTCTTGAGTCTTGAGAGAAGCATTTTATACTTCAAAGTTCATTATCAGAATCTGCTGTATCATACATTTGCGACAAGATTCTTTACATCAGTTTCCATCGTAATAAATGATCTTTTTTCAAAGTAATAACTTTAGGATAATTAAAGAACCAGGAAAAACCTATATGATCTGAAAGTGAATGGGCAGCCAAATCAGAATAATGAGCAGTTACAAACTTTCTGGAACGAATTCGGATTTGTGTAAACAGTATGACTTTGACTATTTATCAGTCATAAACACCAGAGAACCTGGTATTCGGATGTGAATACAAATATATCCCTTAAGAATTAATCAGCTTTGGATTCCCTTTTACTTATGCTATTAGTCCACTTTATTGGTTTAGAAAAAGGATCAATTAACTTTCTGAAAATAACAGATTGTTTTCAACAAGTTTATTCAACAATTTATTGAAAATTGGTCGTGTGAAAGGTTTAAAATATTGAAACATAGCCGACTGAGATCCTGATAAAACTACAAATAAATGTACGAGTAATTCTGTACTGGTATCAACTATACGAGTCAAATCTTCATTCTTTTAGACAAACCGATTGGTACGATTAACTGTGTCAGATTCCATTCGAGAATAAATTCCAATTCCTCCGCGTAATTAGTCGGGATGAAACTCATATATAAGATTGTGTACTCAGATTTAAGCCTTACTTTAAATGTGAGGGTTGTCAACAAATATCCAACTGTCCAAATTGACATAAGTGGAGAAGAGTCCGAACCAGCGAATTATAGGTTGAAAGAAGGCTTTAATCATTAAGCCACTGTTTCTAACAGCTTACAAAATACCCTAGTAAAAGGTTATGGTTTCTTTATAAGTTAAAAGGGGTAATTATTGGAACCGGAACTTTACTAATATTCCTGTAGCGCAGAACAAAGGTTATTAGTCACCAACGCCAACATTTTTACATTAACATTCATTTGATCGAAATGCAACGAATTAGGTTATCAGTTCTCTACATTTTCCCCACACATTTGGTGGTTTTGGAATTAGTCAGTTAACTTTTTGGTACAATGTACTTCAATGTGATCATATTGCAAAACACGATCATTTGATGTCAATGTAACTTAAATTTGTATCGGTCAATACAGTAAAAAAAAGAATGGGAATTATCGAAACGGAAAAGTATACACTGAAATCGACGTACGCCTTCCGTTCATTCGCCATACATAAAAAAATTAGAAGAAACTTCTAAAGCAACTGCTTTATAACTGTGTAAATACTGTAACAAATCTTCATCTTTCAAAACTATTTAAACCCAATTATTACGTACGTTAAGTTCGTACATGTACTCAATCATTTCTATAAAGAGCTTGAAACCTATAACAGAGCTAACTATTGCATAATAAAGAAAGATTCACCAACACCATCACAGCGATTGACATATTCTGTACCTTTTGTCCTTTGAATAAACGACTACAATCGGATTCATACATCAAGTATAACATAAGATGAGAAAAAATGTCAAAAACGCCAAATTGCTTGAAAGCACTTGTGAATGAAGATAAATAACAGCTAGTTAGTGTTTAAGACTTTTTAATACAAATTTTTTTATTTACAAGTTGAATGAATATAATACGGGAAGTTGTAGAGATATTGCAGATCTTGTGCTTGTAATTACTTGTTATAATCAAACATATGGTATCTAACACAGATATTATTATGAAACTTCATTTCAAATACTATTGAAACATCACGCATAGGTTAGAGACAAAAGCGGTTTATTCTACTAAGATTTCCAGGATAATCTTTCTTATTGGGAATATGAAAGACTATTACGCTTCAACATTGAAAAGAAATTGATAATACACACGCAGGGACAGAGAGCAATGATCATAGTCTAAACTATTACAAGGAGCAGCATCGCTGATCGCTAATATTGCGATGAAATGACGCGATATTCTCACAAATCAGAAAACTTTTATGGTAAGACGTTGTATTAGTTAAACAAAGATGAAGTGTAATATTCGCTTTATAATGTTCAGTTATTGCTTAACTAATACAACGTCTTGTTATAAAATCTGTCTGATTTGGTGGTGGCAAGGTTGAAGGTTGTGATGATGGAGTAGCTTCCTGATTCTGTAGCACGGAGAAAGATGTGGCCTGCTGTTGATGTTGAAGGATATGTTGTGGGTGAGGTTGGGCAGCGCAATTTCCAGGATTGTTTGTTGGAAATCCAGATATTATACACTGGTTGCTACCAGGAGTGGGGATAGAGGGATCAATACAAGTTGAAGGCGGGGGAGTAGCAATATTTAGTGGGACACCGACAGGACCAGGGAGTGTAGATGTATCGAGATAATGTCTGAAAAATGGAGATGAAGTAGGTCAAGACAAAAAATCTTACTGTGAGATGGTTTATAATGCACAAGAGATGTAAAACTGACGTGTTTCTGATGAACACAAACATCTGAAAAAAGCAACGCTAGTCGCTACATCAACTTAACAGAACCACTTGAGCTCTTTATACTCGAAACGATAATCAGTATATTTAAATTGTTTCAGCCAAATTAGATAATGATAACATCCTCCTAGATAGTAATATTTTAGTGTTCAAGGACATTATTGACTGCACGGTAATAGAATTCTTACACAGAAAATTAGTGAAGACAACGCTGAGTAGTAATAAAGAAAAGATTATTATTATTATGTATGTACTATTTAAACTTATGTTAATTTAATGCGGTTATTTATTCACTCTGAAGAAGTGGCATACATTGAGTCACGAAACGTCAGAAATACAAATTTTTTGCTCATTAGGATTATAACAATGATCAGTTTATTCAAAGCTATCAAGTCCAGCATTGACATTGATACATACTATATCCTTCATATTAAAGCAAATTAACGAATATTTACGAATTGATATAGTAAGCTAAGTAGTTGTGTGAAAGATAATGATCTCATTCAACTTGCTGAAACCGTTCGGAAAGAACAGGTTAATTGAAACTTATGTAATCCTGCTGAAGACTGTCAAAATAAATCACGATAATCATGATAGCCAAATAGGTGGAAGGAATTGGTTGTATTCAATAAAATATATGACTGGGGAAAATACGAATAGAACAAATGAGCAATTTTAAACTATAGGTGTTATACACATTACACATATGAATGAAGTTCTATATAGTGTTGAACATAATCAATAAAAATGATTGAGAATACAATTGTAATATTATATGTGTACATTAAAGGTATTCAAGGGAATACTTACTTGAGTTGAGCTTTAGGCTTAAGATAATCATCGTTGCTAAGTTGAAAGACATCCGGTCGGAGATCTTTTCTATACGTACAACACTTTCGAATAAATTCCTAAAACAATAAAAAATGAAATCAGTGAACTAACAAAAAAGGAAAAAAACTTGTAAGAATATTTTAAACACAATTTATTAATGAGAAAATGTATCATGAGACAACTTCAATTACTGGGTGTAAACTTTGGTAAGACATGAGGCAAATTTTAAATCGGTCATTTGTGATAATATTGCTTGCCTAAGCACAGAATTATTTGGCGAAGTTGTACATCACTAGTGTACAAAACGCCAGATTAATGAGATAAAAAATTGTCTCGAACAATATTGTTACTCAGTCTATCTATTACCAATAAAATATCAGTGGATTTAGAAAAATAACCAAATCATAATCACTAAACTATAGGCTGTGCTTTGACTGTATTCCTGATGAAAAAAAGATGAATTGTTTTTTGTGTCCTGTATATGTTGGTCCACAGATTTAAGTTAAATCCTATGGATTGATAAATTTAACTTTGTTAACACTGACTTGAGAGATAAGAAACTCTGGTTAGTGGAGAATGATTGGTCATAGTATTTTTCCGATGGTCGCGAACAGCAGATATTGCACGGAAATTTAAGCAGATCTATCCTAATGAATGGTAATAGGTCATAATCGGAAACATCTTGTAAGTTACCAACCGCATCAAGATTTGGTTATCTAATACACAGAAAACAAACAATGAAGTAAAAGACAAGGATGAATGACTTATGTGACGTACTACTAACTGAAACGAAAGTGAGCTAAGCATGTGAATCCAACACGAGAAATTCTACAGTAAGTGAGCAAAACAGGCTTACTTTTGCGCCGTCGCTAACTTTTGTAGTGGAAGGGAATACAATGGATCGTGCATGGAGAATTGTATTTTCGTGCAAAATATCAGCTTGGGACATATTATGACCGAATGGCTATATATTGGAAAAAAATAAACGAAAAATGTATCTATTGTTTATATACCAGTGATACTACTTCAATATCAGAATTAAAAAGAAAAGTGATTTTCTCATCATGGAATGGCGTGAAATGAATAAACCAGAAATCACCTGACAATTGATCCATTTTGGTTTGGGACTTCTCAGCAATGCATCATATGGGAAACAAACCTGAGGAACTTCAATTTTCGTGACAAATACGACACATTAGACGATTATCAGAACTCAACTTCGATCGACTAGCGACTTAGAGATGATTATTCAATGATATCGCTGCTATAACTGTGTTATATCGATATGATTGGTCACCAATTAAACAGCAGAACTGCAAGGATTTATTTCAAGGCTTATCATTACTAGTAAATAAATGGCTACACTTAAATACGTGGTTTATGGGGTTTTAACTCAATTTTAAAACTTTTCTGTCTAGCTATCTAGTCTTTCTTGGCCTTCAACTGTTTGGCAACTGATCATTTCTTCAAGCTAGGTTATCCGATGGAAAGATAATGCTGTCAATAAAATGTAGTAGTTAGAGAAAAGGTAGGCAGTATAAATGTAAAATAACTAATTAGTTTTTAAGAACAATAATAACTTGTTGAAAATAAGTGGGAAATTACAGAAAACTAACTTTTTTTCCAAACAAACACTGAAAGAAAATTACACCAACAGACCATATATCCACTTTTGAAGATATTTTTGGAGGTTCCCGCCCTGTCTCAAAACATTCCGGTGGTAAGTACCAATAAGTGCCTGCTCCTTGGGAGGTTAAATCCATTCCAGTCTCTGGATTGTATTTATCTTCTGTCATAAGTTTACTTAAACCAAAATCCGTGATTTTGATTTCACCAGCAACTTGGCCGGAACCCAGTAAAATATTACCTGTAATGAGTTAGTAAAGTAGTAAGTAAAATCACGCACAATATAACCATTACGGAAATTCATCACAATGTTTCGTTTTGCCTGAAAACATTTTGATGAAAAAGATACAAATAATCATAAGCGTAGAAGGAAGCACTGTGACTTATTATGTATTTGCGTCTCATATAAATGAAGATGTATTAGTTTGAATACGTGTAACAAACACATAAATCTCACTTGTTTATGGAAACAATGCTACACCGTCAACTCGGTGCTTAATACTTTATACATAAAAATGTTATTCTGATGGAAGAAATACTTATTTTATTGGCTAGTTGACCTGCCTTTCGATAATAATTCATCCAGAATTAATCTGTATTGCTTTTTCTAATCTTCCCATTGACGTTTAAAGACTGTAATTGATTAGTCTCTTTTGATAGATTTAGATCCTGTTTGGACTGCCTCGACATTGACGTTTAGTCACGAGGATTTCAGAGATAGATAATAGCTAGCAGTGGAATCCATATGTAAGAGATGGCAGTGAAACTAACTGCGCAATTATTTAGGAAATTAAAGTGCATTTCAAGTCATAGCGTTTTAATATACATTACAGAACGGAAAAAATAATCATAAGGTAAGCGCAGATTTACAACTGTACATACCTGGTTTCAAGTCATAATGAATTACTGGAGGTTTACGTTCATTTAAATATTTCAAAGCAGAAACCACTTGGCATATAATCGACTTGGCTTCACGTTCCGGAATACTTTTGTTTTGTTTAAGAAAGAAATCCAAGTCATTACCTTCGCTGTATTCAAGTACAGTACAAAATCTACAGAACCAAAAATATACGAAAGAGAGTCTAAGAATATGTGATGATTTCAGGAATAAGCAAACTGAATGACATATTTGTATACTGAACGCGAGATGAATGAAAATCATAAGGTAATGGTCAGAGTTAGTCAACAAGAAACCCTGAGCGTAAGTTTTGTGACATATGGCACTCGTTAGCAAAGTGTATCTAATGCTACCTGTAAGATTTGACCCCGTGTCACCCAGCTTTACAGTCAGAGACGTTACCACCTAGCTGTTTGGGCCACGACTGACCTGTAGGACTGAGATGCAATAACCATTTGATAGATTATTGAGTAGTGACCAAGTTCATGTATCTCAAGTCCATCTTGGTGATCGGATTCTATCAACCAATTTGTAGTGTACCACTAGTCTGCGTGACTCGAGGTCGTGTACATTATGTTGAGATGTAGCACGAAACCTATGTTCAGAGTTTCTTGAAGACTACCTCTAACCATCATCTTGCATCTTAATATATTGCACAAGAAGTCGTCACTTAGACTAGTGGCTATATCGCAACTTGATCGATAGGATCCGATCAACACTAAGAATTTGAGGTATATGAAATTGGTCACTACTCAGTGATCAATCAATGGAGAATGGAAATTATGTACATGACCCGAACTCTGAGACTACTAGTATTAATATTTTTCATAGAACCTCAGTTCTTAAGTAAAATACAGAGAGTGGATAATAGTTAGAACCACAGTTAAAAGTTGATCATTTAAATAAACCAGTGTGAAATTCTTATTTTATGACTATATTACTTATTAGTAATCATGGTTCATCCCCTTTACTGGTATATCATTGGTTAAATTAATTATTGATAAAATGACTATGCTCTTTTGGTTGTAAAGTGTTTTACATGGACAGCCGTATTTAGTTAGTCAGTCAGCTACAACGTAGGACCAGGCACATATGTGCATCGGCCCAAGTTGCCATACCTCATCAGCACAACAAGATGAACACCTATCATTTTTACGTTTGACTGGTTTACAATTGACTTTTGTTTTTGTCCTATGATCTTGAATGTAAGATAAAGTCGAGCTAATTATGATTAATTATAGAACAACATATATGCTTGATAAATACTTATAAATATTTCTGAGTAACCACGACAATCTTCTGACTTAAATAGACCTCGGATGTGTTATTCAAGTGAATCTGACACAGGATATATTTACACGAAAACATAACAAGACCTTCATGAAGCAGCAGTTGTGATGTATTAAAGGTGAATAAAGTGAGTATGTGGAGATGAACGTTTGCATAGAGCATATTACGTTTAAAAATTGGCTAGAATACAATACAAAGACAGTTACCATCAACTTAGGTGTAGGATGCTGGTCAGAACAAAAGCAAGTTGGAATATGAATAAAGTGCAAATCAGTAGACACCGCGGATCTATACTATCAATAACTGGAGGTATGAATTATTTAAGTCTAGCACAAGCTACTTGAGGTCTGATGAAGAATCCCAACAGATTATTTTAGTTGATGTAAGCCAAAATTTTCAAAGTAATATCATTCCATAATTCTCTACATTTGGTTTTTTCAACGTTTTTAAATATCTTGTATACAGCAGTAATTACTATTCCACAGTCTCCATTCCATTTTCGAAATTATTTTTATATTTTTATGATCACTTATTTTGTTGCCGATTTTTTGTGTTGTAGACGCTGGCTTTGGGTAGTTGTACGAGAACTTTATTTAATTTTTTTGGAAAAGCTTTTGATCCCCTTAACCGTGAAATCACAGTGATTTCAGTTGAACTGCTTTAAGCTAATATGTTCAATTTCAAATGCTTATACAAAGTAAATATTATTTTATGAAGAATATTTCAAATAGGATAATCTACAAATTTTTGTTTGAACTTTAAAATTTCATATTATATTTCCCACACCAAATACTATTTACCGACTTCATTATGAAGTCAAGCTGACTTAAGCCTTATATTGGACAAGATTCATGGTTTAGTAGGCGGTATTAATTGACAAGGTTTTCTCTGTAGAATAGTGCCCATGCCAAATGTGATTGTAATCCAGTATGAGTTAATGTACACTAAACAAATTTTTTTTATCAAATTATGTGCTTTGTTTTGAATTTATTACCAACCGAGACCCAGCATCGCAATTTAGATTGTGTGAAATAGTGACTATCAATCGAATGTAGGATACATGTTCCTCTTAGTATAAAAACGGGAAACGATAATGAATAAGCTTTCGTGTATGCAATGTTAAGATATGAAAGTTGACAATTAAACTTACGCATCATGATCGATATCAAACACATCGAATACTTTTACTATCCTCGGATGGTGTAACGTTTTGTGAATCTCAATCTCTCTTAACGCATGTCTATAAAAAATATTCGATTATTTTCAGAAAAAGAAATTAGTTAACATCATATTACTCAAATAAAATTAAGTAACCACTGACTCTAAAATAGCTTGCGAACACTAAACGGCATAGAGAAAACCTTTAGGAATAAGCAGATAAAAAACAAGCTTGTCTATTGATAAATAGATGCGTTTGGTGTTAACGTCAAATTTCATCACTTAAAAAATGGTATAAACAACAAAAAATACTAGATATGAAACTAAAGGTACCCCTACCTCAATAACGGCTGACTTATTAGAATTAACTAAAATTAAATTATAACGTCGATCAGTTCATGATTTCAAAAAAATTCAACAATCTTCACGACCCCATATGGACAAAAAGTGTTCTAGTTCAAGCAAAATAATATTAAAGGAGACAGAAATGTAAAATACGGAATACTTGGACTATATTGACGATCGTTAGAAAGATCACGCGATAAACCGGAGCCAAGAAAGACATGAAAATTCACATTATATATATATATATATAAATATATATATATATATATATAAAGACGGTCAAGCTTCGAGCCACAGTGTTTTTCACAACTCTGGTAAAAACGATTGATTCAAAAATCGAAAATGTTTCGCAAAAGGAAAAACACGACATTTTGTTGAAATACTCGAGGTTATTAGCTAACAGCGATCAGAATATTACTTACTTACGCCTGTTACTCCCAATAGAGCATAGGCCGCCGATCAGCATTCTTCAACCCACTCTGTCCTGGGTCTTCTTTCCTAGTTACATCCAATTCTTGGTCATTTTCCTCATGTCTATTTCCATTTCTCGGCGTAATGTGTTCTTTGGTCTTCCTCTTTTCCTTTCGCCTTGACGATTCCATGTGAGGGTTTGTCTTGTGACGCAGTTGGGTGCTTTCCTCAATGTGTGTCCTATCCACTTCCAGCGCCTCTTCCTGATTTCTTCCTCCGCTGGGATCTGGTTTGTTCTCTCCCACAGTAGGTTGTTGCTGATAGCGTCTGGCCAACGGATCCGAAGTATTTTCTGTAAACAACTGTTAATAAACACTTGTATCTTCTGAATGATGGCTTTCGTAGTTCTCCAGGTTTACGCCCCATACAGTAGAACCGTATTGACATTTCTGATCTTGATGCTGGTTAACAGTTGTTTTGAGTTCCAGATGTTTCTCAGTTGTAAATATGTTGCTCTTGCTTTGCCGATCCGCGCCCTCACATCTGCATCAGATCCACCACGTTCATAAATGATTCTGCCCAAATATGTAAATGTTTTTACAACTTCCAAATCTTCTCCGTCAATTGTGACTGGATTGGTGCATTCTGTGTTGTATCGGAGAATCCTGCTTTTCCCTTTGTGTATGTTGAGACCTACTGCTGCTGAGGCTGCTGCCACACTGTTTGTCTTCTTCTGCATTTGTTGTTGCGTTTGGGATAGAAGGGCCAGATCATCTGCGAAGTCTAGATCGTCCAACTGCATCCTAGATGTCCATTGTACCCCGTGCTTCCCCTCAGATGTTGATGTCTTCATGATCCAGTCGATCACCAGAAGAATGAGAAAGGGTGAGAGTAAGCAACCTTGCCTAACACCGGTCTTCACTTCGAACGACTTTGTCAACTGTCCTCCATGCACGATTTGTAGTGTAATTCATCATACGAACTCTGTATGATATTGACTATCTTCTGAGGTACTCCATAGTGTCGAAGGAGATTCCATAGTGTTGTTCTGTTCACGCTATCAAATGCTTTTTCGTAGTCAATGAAGTTGATGTAGAGAGATGAATTCCATTCAATTGATTGTTCCACAATGATCCGTAGAGTTGCGATTTGGTCTGTACACGATCTATCCTCACGGAATCCTGCCTGTTGGTCACGAAGTTGGGCGTCTACGCAGTCCTTCATCCTGTTTAACAATACCCTTTTGAAGACTTTGCCCGGTATTGAGAGAAGAGTGATGCCCCTGTAGTTATCACAGTTGCTGAGATCGCCTTTCTTCGGTATTTTTATCAGAACTCCTTCTTTCTAGTCTTTTGGTACTTGTTCTTCATCCCAAATCTTATTGAAGAGAATGTGGAGTATCCTTGCAGTTACTGCTACGTCTGCTTTTAGTGCCTCTGCTGGAATGTTTTCTGGTCCTGTTGCTTTTCCACTCTTGATTTGCCTGATGGCCATGCTTATCTCCAATTGTTGGTGGGCCAACATTGATTGGGAGGTCCGTGGGTGCTGCTTCGATGTTGGGTGGGTTCAGTGGAGCTGGTCGATTCAACAGTTCTTTGAAGTGTTCTACCCACCTGTTTTGTTGCTCTTCAATGTTGGTGATTACCTTGCCTTCCTTGCTTTTCACTGGTCGTTCTGGTTTGCGGCGATTTCCAGAGAGTTTCTTTGTCGTGTCATACAGTTGTTTCATGTTTCCTTCTCTTCCAGCCTTTTCCGCCGTCGTTGCTAAATCTTCCACGTATATACGTTTGTCGGTTCTGATGCTCCTCTTCACTTGTTTGTTTACTTCTGTGTATTCAGCTTGTGCCTTGGCTTTTTCTGCTCTTGTTCGACTGGTAATGATTGCTGCTTTCTTGTTCCTCCTTTCTTGAATCTTATCCAATGTATCAACAGTGATCCATTCCTTATGATGGTGCTTCTTGTGACCCAGAACCTCATGACATGTTGAAGTGATTGCCTCTTTGATCCCATTCCGGTTGCTCTCTATAGTAGTTCCTTCTCTATTGAGTAGATCATGAAAGGCCTGGAATCTATTGCTGAGGACTATCTTGAATTTGTTGAGTTTGTCAGTATCCTGAAGAAAGGCTGTATTGAACTTTTGTGATATTGTCCTCCCCGTTGTCCAGTGCTTCTTGAGTTTCAATTTCATCTTGGCGACCAGTAAGTGATGATCTGATGCTATATCAGCTCCTCTCTTGGTTCGCACGTCCTCCATCGTCCTCCTGAACTTTTTGTTGATGCAGATGTGGTCGACTTGGTTCTGTGTAGTGTGATCCGGTGAAGTCCATGTGGTTTTGTGTATGCGTTTATGTGGGAATATGGTGCCGCCTATGACCAGCTTATTGAAGGCACATAGATTTGCAAATCTCTCACCATTTTCGTTCCTTTCTCCCAGTCCGTGCCGTCCCATGATTTCTTCATATCCAGTGTTGTCCGTTCCAACCTTGGCATTGAAATCTCCCATCAGAATGGTCAGGTCCTTTGTTGGTCACTTCTCGATGATTGACTGCAGCCTATTGTAGAATTGATTTTTAGCGTTTTCATCGTGGTCGTTGGTAGGCGCATAGCATTGGATGATGTTCATTGAAATGCCCTTTTTCTTTGTTTTGAAGGAGGCTTTGATGATCCTTGGTCCATGAGATTCCCATCCTATAAGTGCATTTTGTGCTTGTTTGGACAGCATCAATGCAACTCCTTGTGTATGTGGAGCATTTTCTTCTTCATGGCCGGAGTATAACAAACCAGAATATTACTATTTTAATATTAAAATGTCCATGTTGACGATGTGAGAAATTCTGTTTACAATAATCGAGATACATAGATATACTATAATACCATACTAAGCCTTCAGTAAAATTTTTACATGAAAACGATTAACTAGAACTTAAAACGTTCTTGGATCACGATTTGTGCGTTGGATTTTTCACAATTATTTCTACCATAAACTATTTTGGTGTCATGAGCAGCAATGAAAAATGGAGAGTAAAAAGACCACTACCACTGAGAATCTTAGCACTAGTCAAAGGAACTGGAGGTAGATTTAATGATATACAAAATATTGTGAACGATACAATGAGAAACCAGATAAACAACCTAACTAGTACTGTTACCAAGGTGTGAAATACTTTTCCCACTGACAAGAGTAGATCCATTTGAAATGACATAAACTGTCGTCAAATATCTATATGAACACCATTTCTAACGCATTTGGGAATACAAAAATCATAGTCATTATTAATTCACTTGGTACTGTTTTACTTGAATCTTCGCATTGTTGTTTAGGACTGCAATTGATCAGTCTCCTATTGGCATGTGTGCATACTGCGCATATTGCCTCGATATTGCCTTAATTTGCAAGTATTATAAGCAAAGATGGCTAGCAGTGGAATCCAGGACGCGCGTGTCGTCCTACTTGGTATTCGTCAGCTGGATGCACCTGCATCTCAGAGTCGATGTTCACTCTGGGACTCGGAACCAGTAACGTTCGCTTCAAACGTCATCGCGTTATCCACTTAGCTACTGAGTCCTGATAGTCATTATTGTTGAGAAACACGTTTGTGATTATTGCAGAAAATGAGTTCGAATTATTATTGTTTGTTCGTATTCATCAGGAAATTCTTACTTAACTTTGAAACATGTGAATGTTCGAGTTCAATGATACTTTAGTCCCAAAAAGAATAATGATTGATTTAATTTCCATAACATGCTATGTCAACTAGCTTGATCGATCTTTTAAAATGGATTTCAGCTGAACTGGATCAACTGTATGATTAAATCAATTCCATGATTCATTATTTCAAACAGATTCATTAGTTCAAATCTAAACGACAGGGTACTAAACGTTTCTACAGGATTTTTAAATTTCTTACAAGACTCATAAGCCTGGTAATAAATAAAAGTCATAATATTGTCTATCTACCAAGTACTAATTCATGTGAACGACTTTGTGGGAGTTTAGGTGCGAAAGTAAACAATAATATTCATCTGTATAAACTGATGTGGGCGAGGTGGAGTCGAAGTATTCAGTTCACTAGTTAAAACTTGAGTGCTTTATACATTAAGCAACCGTACTCTAATAGGATTGGGAAAATTACGGGGCAGTGTGTAGATAAATATAATTACACAACTTTTTCTAATGAACTCGGCACACAACAAGCCAACATAGATACACTTACTTAATGTAGTTATCTTTTTTATCTTTAGGCCAAGAAGGATTAAGCTGATGAATTTTACAAGCAACATATCGATTAGCTACGAGATCAAAACCCTGAGCAAACAAAAAAAAACGAGAAAACAAAACATTTGAGAATATTTAAAGAAATATTATATGAAATAAATTGATAGAAATTATTTTATCATCATAATTAGTATGACACTGAAGCGCTCCAGATAACAAATACTTATCAGCCGAATTTATTCCGGTGTATATAGTAGTATTAGTTAAATGCTGCTACAACGAAATGGTGTGAATGGGTTACACCTTGATAATTAATGGTAACTTTACTAGTGCTTCCAATGGGTTGAAGAATATGCATTGAGATGTAGCCTATGTTTAATCAACTTATTTATTAAGTATAGGTTTAATGTACTTTATTGTGAATAGTATTGTACGTAATAGTGCCAGTGAATGACGTTGGAGAAGCGGTTTTCGTCTCAAAATATTTTTGATAAAAATTTGTTGGATCGGTATCTTTTTATAGCTACTAGATAGTCTTCAAGACTCAGTCAAACACTGGTACTGTAATCACCATTGGTTATGGTAATTAGTACATTTATACGAAATGTATCCATTTTGATTTATCTTGTAGTGGTTGGATACAGGATCAAATTAGAACAAATTAAATACGGTAAGCGAAAAAACAGTACCTAATAAATAATTTACTTACTATGTTTCAGTTATCTAGCTTGTAAGATGGACAAGTGGAGAACAAATAAATTTATTATACTCATTACTTTTATTAGTCTACTGAATACTATTTTATATAAACACACTGAAAATGAAAAACCGGTTGGATAGACATTATACAGAAGGTAAGATTTAGACACAGGCTGCTATAATTCACATCAGCAGAGGAGAGTGAGAAACAACTAAATAGGCCACAATCCATTGAGATAACATTAAAATGAGCTTTAACGATATACATGACGCGCACTTCGAAATTATGCATTATACGTTTCCATCAGGATTGGATGCAGTTTCAATTTTAAGACTTATACAAAGGGATAGCCAACTCAATCGGTATTAATCAACGTATAGACCAATTTATCATGTGACATTAGCATGAAAGATGAAATAAACAAAACGAATGGCGAAGGAGTTGAAATAATGCAGTGGCAATAGGAATTGAAATTACCACGCATTGAGATGGTTAGATTTTAGTTATTTGAACAAATAAATATTGGTACAAAGGGGCACCGAATACATATGGGCAATACAAGTCACATGGTTTGTGCGTGGGCTATGATGCTGTTCGGGCGCCTAAACCGAAGCAGGTGGTTTTCTTAGGGAGTCACATCCGGAGCCATTCGACCTAAAAGTCTGATCCACAAGGCAGTGGAGCAAAATCAGGAGATGCAGTCCCATGGTAGCCGGTGACCAACAATAGGTTCATATGCCGTTTGCTCCTTCAGAATCCTGGAGCCCATGTGCATCATTGGTTTGGAATCAGGGTTTTACAATTCTCTTAGGTGGACTCTTCGTGTCCACCGAGCCGGTGAAAGCACCGGACATTCGCTTTTCGTCCTCTCAACTTCGTAAACAACACCCCCGTCACGAGAAGGCATTGAGTAGGACTTCCCTGGCAGTGGCTGTATATGAGGGCCATGTGAGAGCGTTTCGAGAGGGAGTTGACTTTCCCCACTCTCCGCCGTACCAGGGCATTTGGGGGCCTGGTTGGAGAAGACGGAGTGAAAATGTATATACAGGGAAATTTTGGGACTCAAGACCTAACGGAAGATAGAGTGAATGTAACTATGATTGATTCGGAGTCATACCACCAAACATCAATGCTGAGGTTAAGTATAGAGTACTAGCTAAAGGGGATAAACCGGTTGACGAGGTTATAAATATTCATTGGCTCTAGATCTTGATTTCCACTATTCCTCCAAAAATACCTTTTCACTCTGCCTTTTTGAACAATATTGCAAATGTTCAGTCTTTTTCACCATCATCATCATCATCGGATTATTTAGATCCCTTTTGTTGTTTTTATGTTGTCGTGTTAATGTGATGTGGCAAGTTGGCAAATGCACATATCACGTATCTACGTTGATGATGACTGACGCTCACTGTCTCCAACTACTGATTGAGGTTATCGCGCGGACCCTAACCAAGTAGTCTGCATCTAACAACATGAATCATTTCGACAGCCAACGATTTCATAGATAGGTGATGGCTAATCATAGGTAACACATAGTGATAGACACTTTAGTTTTCTCTTCCACAACTGAATTGCCTGGGACGTACGTCACATAAACTTAGCCACCACACTCCTCGACACAATTCTGGCTGGTCAGTCGGTCAGCTACAACGTATGACCAGGCACATATATGCATCGTTCCAAGTTCCCATACCTTATCAACACAACAAGATAGACACCGGATTCATAAAAGTAGTTAATTCAGAGGTGGTAATATATAAAAGGAAGACTGCGATAAGGATATAGTACAGGAAGAAAGAATTAGTTCGTAGAAAGAAATATATGAAGCAATTTTAATCTCTTAGTTTAAGGGAAGACAGAGAGTGTATACACCGACGCCATTGTGATCGATTCTGAGCCATGTCACCAAGAGTCTCCAACCATTGGTTACGATAGTCACGCCGACTCCAACCAAGTAGTCTGCATCTACCAACATGGCTCAGACTAGAAGTTAGTGACTTCAAGCACTAATGCCACGTTTTGGTTTGGCCATCCCTAACTTCCTTCCAACCATACCCAACATTAGTCACAGCATTGCGCGTGAGGTAGTCGGTGTTCGGAGATACGTGGCACGTGACTCAACCATCTCAATTGATAAAGATTTGCAACCCCATCAACTGACTCACCATCATTCCCTAATACCCTGCGTCTAACCTCACTATTACTTACCCGGTGATCCCAGCAGATGCCAGCAATATTTCTGAGGCACCTGTGGTCAAATACTAGTAGCTTATGAGTGTCTTCTACTCTTAATGGCCATGTTTCGCTGCCGTAAATTAAAACAGAACGGACTGTCGCGCAGTATACTCGTCCTTTTATTGATAAACGGATATCTTGCCTTTGCCATGGGTGACGTAAGTTGGCAAAAGTCAAACGGGCATTTTATCAGCGTCTTAACCAAACAGGACTTTGTTATTTGTGTATTCTAAGTCGATAAGTGGACCTCCTGGAAGGAGATCAATGCCCGGGAATTCAGTAGACGAGAATGTTATTTCCATCAGTAGGTCTATGATGAAGTTAAACAAAAATGGAGAAAGTGGACAGCCTTGACGGACACCACTTGAGGTTGCAAAATCAGATGACAGTTCGCCATAAGCTCTGACTCGACTGGCAGTGTTCGAGTAAAGAGCCTTCACAAGGTTTATGTACTTCTGAGGTACGCCTTTCAATGACAGACACTGTCACAGAATCTCGCGATCTACGGAGTCAAATGCTGCTTTTAAGTCAAGAAAGACCACCATTGTCGGACGCCGATAAGTATGCCTATGTTCTAGAACCTGACGAATGGTGAATATGTGGTCGATGCAGCCACGACCAGGTCTGAAGCCAGTTTGATTCTCTCGTGTTTGCAGTTCACGAGTCTTAGTTAGGCGTCTGATAATTATCAAGGCTAGTATTTTAGATACTATATTGGTTAAACTAATCCCTCTATGGTTGTCACAGGATGATTTTAACCCTCTCTTATATATTTGGACGATAAGTGATTGTGACCAGTCAGATGGAATAACGTCTAACTCCCAGATCTTAGCTAAAATATTAGTCAACCTAATCGCTAAAATTGGACCACCATCCTTAAAGACTTCTGGAGCCAATCCATCTGGACCAGCTACCCTTCCTCGTTTCAGATTAACTATAGCCTTTTGAACTTCTGCTAGAGTTGGGGGACCTACTTCAATGTTCCATTCACACTGTCTGGGAATGGAGGGTAGTTGTAGAGTAGCTGAAGGCCAGCTGAACTGTTCTCTGAAATGTTCCGTCCATCGTTCTAAACGTCTGGACTGGAAGCAGATGAGTGTCATCTTTTTCCGAAATAGTTTGACTTACACTTGACTTATTAATTCCAGTTTCTTTTATTAGTCTGTAGAGCTGTCTGGTGTTACCTACAGCCGCTGCCTTTTCCATCTCTTTTGTTTTCGTTGACCATCACTGCTCACGGTCGTTCCTTAAACTTTTGGTTAACCTAGATCTGATTTGTTTTTGCTCTTCATCGTGTTCAGAGCCCGATGGGATGAGTTTACGAGAATCCATCAGTGCAATAGACCTTGAGGAAATCCATTGGTTCATTCTGGCTGGTGCAGGAGTATGTTAGAAAAAGGTGACCATGAACTAGAAGTAAACAATGTCTATGTCTAGTTTTTTATTGATCATATTACGTTTATGATGAAAACGGACTACTTTATTGAAGCAAGAAAAAGTGAAGTCTAAGAATGAACAACCGACCTTGTGAACTTCCGAGAATCCACCTTTGCCCAGTAAATTAAGCAAAAGATATCGTTCATTCAGTAATGGATGATCTTTAAAACGAGATGCATCTTCATTAGAAATTCGTTTAATTTCTCGAATATGCAAATTTCTTTCTCGATCTAATCGCTCTAATTCCATTTGAATTTCTTTATCTTCTTTAACAAGCATCTGTTTACGTAAATCATAAATTTCTAATTGTTCATAAAATTCATCCACGGAGACTCTGGAGAGAAAGAAAACAGTAATAACAATTATTATCCAATCATTTTTTATTCATAATTTGGAAATTCTCAATATACAAGATATAGGATAAAAATTAGAGTATGACAACAGTACAAACTGATTGATTTATAAGCATGAAGAGGTACCAATTTTGAGGATCAAAGTTCAAAAATAGGAACACGCTTGAGCGGCAACTTAAGCTAATCCATGAAAATGTCTACGAATGATTCACAACTAAGAAAGTGTGAATTATCCCCTTCCAAAACAACTGACTTCCAACCAATAGATCCCAGGTTCAAACACATCCTTATCTACGTACGCTATGGCAGCCTGGTAATATCACTAAATGTATTAAAACTAAAGTGAGGTTCAAAGCCAATTACATAAACCAGTACATAGTAGATGAGTTACGTGATAAAAACGTATGGCTGAAATAAAAACACATAGTACCTATGTGATGAACCTGACAAATGTTTATTATGCTTAACCACTGCCTATTTAATATTAAGCAGAAGTACAATGAACGATTCAAAAGTGTTAAACCCCAGAATTCACTTCTGCAATTTTATTTTGGAAATTTGAATTTCTTGTTTCCGCTTCAAAAACGCCCATTTTCACCTTCATGTCGTATTTCCTACTTGGGAGAACTTTAAATGTCATTGGTCAGTTGTTTCTCTTAATATGTGATTTTGTAACGTATATACTCTTGAATTGTCCTTGTGGTTGTTGTTCGTGCTTCTGGCTGCTTGTGGAATACATTTCCTTCTCTCAACATGAACGTATCATTCTAGTTAGCGGGGCTGGGATGCATCGGAATAGTTAGCTTATTTGGTCACTGTGTTAGAGTCTTCGTTCAGTTCGCAGATTAGGTGAACTCGTAATCTCTCGAAACATAGCAACGGGAGAACAATTTCTGAAGACTTTCGACTGACAGTTTGAAAATAAACCATGAATTGTAAGCATTCTGAATGGTGTTAGTTGGACAATAGAAATCGGTAATAGGAGAAACAAAGTAGGATTATTCGCCCATAATTGATTACAGTATTTTGATGCATGTTTTCCTTTAAGCTTTTGCGAAACGTATATATCATATTGTTTCATTGATTTTTCCTACTATTCAAAAATGTTTTTGACATCTAGTGCTTAAGATTTGGTGATATTATTACGGACCATCTTGAGTCAATAATTTTATATAGCATTATCTAACTTATTACTGAAATATCAAGGGTTACAAACACCGGAAGTCCATTTCCACCAGTTAAGACGTCTTTGGTAAGGATAGTATAATTAGTACACATAAAACTTTACACAAGAAAAAATAAACTTTAACTTACTCATCGTATTTAGATTTAGTACTCTTTTTAGCATCCCCAACATTTGGTTTACGCTTGTTCCATTGTTTCTTTTTACGTTCAATCTCTTCACGAACAAGTTCAATATTCTTACGGCGCCTGAAGAAATAAACAGGAAAATAGAAAAGTTTGAAATTAGCAGAATGACATTATTGTGTGAGCCCACAAATACCGAGGGTGGGAGAGTTAACTCTCTCTCGAAACGCTCTCACATGGCCCTCATATACAGCCACTGCCAGGGAAGTCCTACTCAATGCCTTCTCGTGACGGGGGTGTTGTTTACGAAGTTGAGAGGACGAAAAGCGAATGTCCGGTGCTTTCACCGGCTCGGTGGACACGAAGAGTCCACCTAAGAGAATTGTAAAACCCTGATTCCAAACCAATGATGCACATGGGCTCCAGGATTCTGAAGGAGCAAACGGCATATGAACCTATTGTTGGTCACCGGCTACCATGGGACTGCATCTCCTGATTTTGCTCCACTGCCTTGTGGATCAGACTTTTAGGTCGAATGGCTCCGGATGTGACTCCCTAAGAAAACCACCTGCTTCGGTTTGGATGCCCGGGTAGTGTCACTGCCCTCACCCAAATCAATGATAACTGCTACTGGCCTCATCATTGTGTGGCGTATCTGTATTCGGTGCCCCCTTGTACCAATGTTTATATGTTCAAATAAATAAAATGTTATCATTGTTATTATTATAAGCGTTACAAACCATACCAATTTTACAATAAGTATTCTTAAAACGATACTTATCAAACAGATTTCGTGGTCAAAATTTAATCTTAAAACAAGGACGAAATAAATAAACGAGACAACTTATTTATATGGTAAAATCTTATGTGCTCAAGTTTGAGTCACACTATTTATGTATAAAGACCATTGATGCTAATATAGTTGCCTAATTCGAAGTAGGGACAGATGAGTTACCCTACCTAATAAAAAATACTCGTCTATAATCCGTACTTATGCTTCACTTCCCAATGATTTTGAGTTTTTAACAAAAGATTAGTCAGATATCCAAAAATTTCGTTGCAATCAATTGCGATAACAATGAACAGCTAAAAAACAACGGAACTAGGCAAACATAAGTATTGACAACTAATTTCTGAATTTTATACATGATAGTAAGTAAAGGGGACTTACTGATCTAATTCCTTAAATCTCGAACCTTCGATCCATTTCTCTTCAAAATGAGCACCCTGTCTTTGGGTGATAAATTGACCTAACCGTAAACGGTTTTCCATAACTTTTTGACGTGTAGTCTTTCTTTCGAGTAAACTCTGAAAGCACGTTATACAATCAGAAATTCATTAGAATAAAGAAAATACATTGGTAAATAAATGACCAACGATAGCATTATTTGACGTAATACTGAGCAGGTTAATAATCAAATATTGTTATGCGCATTGCAGTCAGACAGAATATTTAAGAAAATAATTAAATAACTTACTTTTTCAATCAGCAATTCGCGTATCATTTCGCGGGAACGAATGGCATTATCTTGTAATTTTGTAATGGTCTCTCGTTGAACAACAGTTTCGTGTTCTAAATCAGCTATTCGACGCTGAAGACTCTCAACTGAAGTTAGTGGAACAGATGAAGCAGGTCCACCGGTTGTAACTAAGGGAGGATTATTATGCAAAGTTGTGATGTTTGTGCATTGTGAACCTTCCACACATTCGGCAGTTGGCGGTGGAGTGACAGTTTCATCTGTTTGCACCCCGACATGAGATCTGAAGTTGTTTGTGGGTGACCCAGAAACGGCTGGAACATTTGATGTCATGGGATTATTAGGACAGGATCCAGAGCTTAGATAACCAACACTAGGTTGTCCAACTTGAGGATATGATGAATTAAGATTAGCAGGTAGCTGAAGGTTAGAATAAGTAGGCAATGGATTAGCATTGCAGGGTATTGTACAAGAAGTTGGATTCGCGTTTACATTCGCAACCATACTTAACCCAACCATCGATACAGGATTGTCACCGGAGCTATCACTTAAACTTGCTGTACTGCTGGCACGGACAGGTGACAACTGGAAAGTAGCTGCATTATTTGCATACTGAATTCCTGTTACTGACGTAATAATCATTTGATCGTTGCTTGCGCAGCTCGTAGTCACAGCTTCATTCAGCGACGGGATGTAATTATGGTTTACTCCAACCATTTGATTATCAAGAGAATGGGCACCTGTAGGGGACTAAAAAGGGGAAACGGTACACAATTAAAACAAAAGCTGTAAGGATAAACTCCTATTCCTACTCACGAAAAAATTCTCCCATAGTTTCTAGTACGAAATAGCCCTAAATAAGATTATCGTTAGCAGTATTAGTCTTTCATATGGTGCTAGTCACGTATTCCTCGTACATGAATGTATTATCCTGGTTACCTGTTAATTATTTGTAAATCTCATTAGTTATCGTTTCTACAGAATAGTTATCTTTGTAACGTAACCAGATATTGTTTCACCCATTATCTGCAACCTACCAACCGCGTTATTGGTTTAGGTACTGAAACTACTGTATGACATGAAAACTAGCAGTCCCATTGGACCTACCACGCCAAGGTAGGTAGAGTTGAACTTGGGATCGTTTAATTGATTAATAACAATGTATCTTTTAATGTCAGTGAACTTGATGGGGATTGCGGAGATTGTTGGGTTTTATTGAAATCACGAACCGATCTAAGTTAGACAACCATCGGAAACCTGGAAGCCCTGGATTGATTATTTGACAAATTGTCACATGAATGATTAATGAAGTTCATCTCAAAATTTGCAGATTCCCGGAACTTGGCCTATCTAAATGTAGTAAGAAAAAAAGTGCTATTTGTTTTGCTTATGGACAGTAAGCTTGTTAGCCGAGTAGTATTCACTAGCTCACACACAAATTTTAACTCAAAGCCTAGCATACGAATATATACCGAGTTAGATCCAAGGATTTATTTACCTTGTGTTCCAACAGAGTAAACATACATGTATTATTTTGGCTATCGAATCCAGAGATTACAAAAACATTTAATTAGCGAGACCTGTTGCGGTATAATAATATCGGAAACATGGACATTTGAGTTGTTATATCACTTATTCTGAAACTATCTATATCATATGATTCGACAATTTTTAGTAGAAACAATCCAAGACAAGTATTTACGTGATAAATCTAGATGAAAATTGTTCATTTTAGCATTGTTAGTAAGAGATGAAACAGATAATTCCAAAACCTAGCTGATCCAATACTGCTACATATTAGTTAGAGATCTGGACACAGTGAATATAAGATGTAGACTTACAGGACTCTGTAGACGAGGATTTTGTGTCGGACTGGTTGAACCACAGGATGAATATAATGGCCCAGGCATGAACTGAATGAGAAAAGATGAGTGAAGATAAGCTATGATTAAACTCGAATTCTCGAGATACATATATTTAAGAAAAATGGATTCTGGTGGGACAATTATAGCATACAACATTTAGACCAAAACAACAGCCTACAATAACAAAATCAGTGAGTCGAGCGACAGATACGATGCACACATTATGAGTAGGTCAAAATCTTTGACATGTTATCTGTTCATTGATTAAAACAAATTCGATCCAGGACTTCCAATAAACCTATAAAATTACCTGGCAGATATTGATGTTAATTCACCTGTAATTTCCTGAATCTACGATTTTTAGGGTTCTTCTAATGACCTAATTATTAAAAAACTGATTTGATGAAAGTCTAGAGAGTGAACGGCATATTTTAGGAGGAGGAAAATGCACAACTCACTTTAAAGATTTCATCGATACGCTTTGAACCACGTTCTTGGCAAACCATTTTTTTAGGTTTCGGTGTATGACCTTCATCAGAACTCACTAATTTTCGCCGTTTCTTTGTGCCATTTCGGGATGGCAACGAATCACCTTGTCCACCAGGAGTTGGAGTATGTGGTCCTATCGAAGGAGATAAGTGGTATGTAGGATTGTTTGTTTCGATAAATGCTGCAGATGGTTGGACGGAAATTTGGAATGTGGGATACGGAGCATTTTTTTCCTCTACAAATGTATAGGGTTGTTTCACAGGACTGTTGCCCGCAACAGTGGTTGGGGTGTGAATAGAGTTCGACCTTGAAACATACTGCAGACCTTGGGGCGAACCAAGAGGATTTGCTGGGATACCAGGAGTCAAAGCTTCTATCAACTTATCGTCCGATTTTACGAGGGAAGTAATAAGACCGTCATTTGATGTGTTGTCAGACTCTCCTACAGAACTTGAAGGGATTCTCTTTTTTTTTGGAGTCGTAGGTGAAGTCACATAATCTTCTTGCGTCTGAACGTAGATCTGAGAATCTTGAACATTAAGACCCGGACTAGTGACCTCCAGTCGATGAATGTTATGGCAATTCGGGTTATGCAACCTTTTGCCTGGATCTGTTGCACTCGGAATTCTTTCATTGATTTCAACTGATATCGAAGGAACTACTGTGGAAACCGGCTTAATCTCACTGCTACTAGTACTTAGGTCATGTTCACCGACTGAACTGAATGGACTGGAAGAACCACGTAAAACTGAGTGTTCTGGAGTGCCGGAAGGTTCTTCTGTTATTGGAAACATATATCCAGAAGCATACGAATTAGACTTTGTGGAGCGAGGCACATTATTGGTTGACCTTATATGGTTGGTTCCCTGAATTCTAGCTTCCAGAAGTTCGTGTTTACGTGGATCTACATGAAGAGGCATAGCAAAGGTACCTTAAAGTGTAAAATAAAACGAAGTTGCTTCGTTAGTCTACATAAGTGGGACAGGATTTAGAAAAAGAAAAATATCCATTACGGTGAAGAAAATCTCATTCTTAACCAACATTTATAATATCTCTTCCCAGATAAAGAAATAGTAAAAAAATGCCATTATAACAAACAAAATTAAGCTATTGATGTATGTAGTAACTAGTCTCAGCTGTATTTTATAGGTTCAGACAGGGTAATGGATATGGGTAATAGTTCACTTACCAAAGTTCGGAAAGATTTACAGCATTGTAAACCTTCAAATTAAAATTGAATACAACTGAGTTATAATAAATAACATCACGTGTTAAGAATTGTATGACAATTTCGATGACTCCCAAAGTGTGGAATATCTGTAGCTAAAGACGAATCCTAGATATATAAAACTAGATACCAATGAGATAAATAGATTCTTAGAAATCAATCTTATTCGTTTAGTACTTAATATATCTTGATTTTGGTAAATTATTAATCTCTTTATTTAATATTATATTTTCGGTAAAATATGGAGTTCATACTACTTTATCTGCGTTTTCAACATTGCTGATGAGCATAGCAAATAAAATGAATGGATTAACAACAGTGACTTCATTTTTACCCACCTGAAGTACAAAATGCCAGTGCAATTAATATGGAACATATTTATTAGATTAAGAATATATAGGCATTAGATTCAGTAGTATTTCATCGGACGAATTACCTATTATTCAGAAAGGATCTTGATACTTGGAGAGAACAAGGGCCAAACTTTATATTACATGGGCTTAAAAACACTAATGTATTAAGCAATCGTAAAGTAATTAATATCATTAATTTACTATGTGCAAATTTGTATAAGCAGCTTTGAGTCATACTTTATAAGGCTCGTGATACCGCCCGGCTTCCCAAACTGTAGTAGGTAGGGTAGGGTTCAAGGCTGATTAGAAACGTTACTTCAGTAAGGGAGTGAGAGAAATTACATTCCAAATCGAACTATCTTCGAAAACGATGATAATACTAGTACGATCTGGTTAATTGTATTAGATTCCTTAACTTTGCGAAGCATGAACTTCGTTCAGGTCATTTTTAATACTAAGGTAAACTACTTTGGGAATTTTGAAGGGAAACGACACGATTCTGAGCAAGTACGCAAAGAATGGAGTTTACGAATACCCTAGTCGAATTTTTCCCGAAGGAAACACTTCTTAGAAGCGATTTGGCAGAAAATCTCACCGTATTAAACTAGATCTACCGAGTGGTACTGTGAAATCCTAGACTATAATAACACTAAGCTAACTTCGCCTGAAGCCCCTTCAGGATTACTGACAGTCCCAAGTCAGGATAAAGGAAGTTGGGAGTAGGGTTAGAAACCCCATATCGCAAAAAGAACTTTGATGCAAAAAAGCTAACCACAGAAAACCAATTAAGCCAATTAGACTACTGAGTACGTCACGCCACGGAAATCGACGTGCATCACAAAGTAAGCTCTGATTTGTAATTAAGACAAAAGGAAAAGAGGCAGACCAAAAAACATATCACTGAAAAGTGAGAGCGGTCATCAAAAGAATGGGATGAACTTCGAAACTCCATGTAAGTATGGTCTTCTCATTACACTGTTCTTTCTACTATGAATACATGTAATTTTTCAGTTAACACTTTAGAGATTGTAACTTCTACGTATTTTGAAGCTATTCAATATCAACTAGTCAGGGGCTTTCTACGGCCAACTATATACTGAATTTTTTATAAATCTAGGTAATATTTAACCAGATTCAGACTAATGGTGTTATAATCACTGGACGACTCAAGAAGTGGAGCTTCACAATAGTTAGGGTGTGACAAGAAACGATGTCGTATGCAGCTTGAAACCTGTACAAATTGACCAACGAGGTACTAGGTAATGAGACTTTTCAGACTATTGTGGTCAATAACATCCTTGAGGCAACTTTGATAAGAGTATATAGTGGTGGTGAGGATGTTAACCGGAGAAACAGTTCGATCTTGAGTATCTGGATGATATTGTCTTGCAGTGCGGTGATATTTGAGCCATGCAAGTGACAATTAATCAGTGTCCTAAATACGGAATTTAGTTTGAACATTCTAAATGCAAAGTGGCTCCATAGGACTGGCAAGAGCTTGTACCGGCACTCATTCTTTATGAGTTGTGAGAAATAATCTAAAGGTCAGCGTATCTGTGTGAGTGCTGCTGGAAGTGTGACTGATGGGGTCAGTCTACGTATGGTGAAAGCTAGAGCGATTTATGCTAATTCAAACTATCTTTGGTACTTGTGATGTTAGTTTGGATGTAGAAGGTTGGATTTACGATGTGTTTGTAAGAACAGCACTGCTCTGTGTTTGTGAAACCTGGCCTTTACTAGTTGAGTATGTTAGATGACCGCGTTTGGTTATCGCTGTCTTTGTAGGGCTGTTGATAACACTGTTAGCAATTCAAATGTTTAGTAATGTGTTCGGACAGTGGTGATAACTCGATTAGTGTCGCCATCTTGTGGGTGTAATCTCTAAATACAACTTATGAGAGAGAAAATCGATACCGATTAAGATTATTTCCCGTTACACTAAAAAAGTCTGAAATCTGCTTAAGGCCTTTTATTACATTTTTACTATGATTTTTATTTGATGACAAATACTTAGTTCATAAATTCTAATCATTATAATTCGCACATAATCAACTGACCCAAATGTACTTTTCATTGATATACTAATCATCATTAAAAAGCTTATTACTAAAATGATCTTTCTACTCTAATTAACGACGAAGACAAGTCAGCAGGACGCAAGGTAAAACCTGGCACATATATACATTGATTGAGGTCCTAGATACGCTCCTGCTTCTATTTGGGCACCCGGACAGTATCACAGCCCTCGCACAAATCAAATGAGATTTGTGTGGCACATATGTATTTGGTGCCTCCTTGTACCAATATCTATATGTTCAAATAAAAAATAAATCCTAGATAATCTGCAACTTAGTGCATGAGAAGTCATAAGGAATGACTCTGAAGAGAAGCTAATGGAAGTCCTTTCGAAGATAATTTTTACATCCTCCACGAGTCAGAGGAACTCCAAGTGAAAGAATTGTTTTCGGCCATAGTTTTTAAAACGAAATGTCACTTTGGTGAAACTATAATTTATGGACGACATTTGAGTTACGCTAAAGTGGCCTTGAGTGTGTCCTCCTACTTTGTAGGGCTAAATGAGAGTTATAAACCTGTGTGAAGAATAAGGATTATGATTTACAGTTGATGGTCAGGGTTATGGATTCGTTTTAAAATCTTCACGAACTGATATCATACCGAAACGCTCTTTAACCAAATAGATGAAGGAATTTTGCGCCAAGATCCAAGACATGTTATCTTATTTCTTATTGGTTCGTTCATAAACTATAGTTTTGCCTCATTTTCTTATTTGAGTGCAGCATATTTATCTGGTGCTCATTTGTACCAGATTTTAGATAAAATAAGAAGATGGAGGCAAGATCATTGGGAACTTTAAAGTGAATTACTATGTTAAGCTATAACCTGTATGAACATTGTACTCTGGTGATGGTGATAACCGCCTTAAAAGCAGAAATTTGCAGTTTTAGGTTTCAAGAGATCTCGGCAATAGGATTCCAAAAACCCACTGTTTCGCGCACACCTAAGTAACTGCACATGAGTGGCAATTCCTAAAGATGGGTATCTACGTTATTTTTTTCTGCATATGTGTCAACAGTTAGATACTTTAGCCTTCGAAAACAAATTCGTAGATAGCTCTAGTTCCCACTTAGAGTGTATAAATTATTCATGTAATATTTGGCCCTAATTTTTCACACTCAAAACGTGGAGGTAGCTAAGATGAATCAACGATATCACGTAGGGACTTAAGTTGAGTATTTGTGACATCACGCATATAAATACGCATATGCGTGAAATCAAACAACTAATAAGGTACATACGGAATTGGAAAACCGTTTGCTTCCTTTGACCAAATAGTTCTAAAGATAACTTGGTGATAGGACAAATCAAAATTAGAAAAACTAGGTTTTTTAACAATATGAATCCACTTTCTAAACGAGCGTACCTGAAGAAGTCAAGTGGTAATGACAAGCTAGAATGTAAACTGGGGAAAATTAGAACTGAGAGCACCACCATTTTAAAACTATGAAGTCATTGACTTACATATCCATAGGAACAAAACAGTAACTAGATAATCGCATACACAACATCCACAGCCATCTGAAGATTCCGAACGCAGAATTTTCGAAAACAGATAAACAAACAAGCAACAGCTGACTGTAACGATTTGGAGTCGTGGTGATCAAGTGCTGAGACTATTTAATGTCAGTAAATAATTAGGTTCATCGTAATAGTTCAAGCTGGTTCATAGACTTTATTTTTGTGGCAAAATAACGGCGCTTTTTAAAAATGCTGGTGGAACGCAATATCTGTCAGAATGTTAATCTCACCATACTGGAGTGCAGTCAGCAAGCCGCAGAGTTTAGGACGTTTCTTGGCAATAGTGCTGACACGTCCTTTGGTAGTATCCCAAGGCTTTTATTACAAGCCGCGGATCGAGATTTGCCTTCCAGGTTTATACGTATTTTGCATACATTTGACCGGCATGTGATGCTCGGTCTATATCATGTGAATCGTAACAAACAACTTATAAAGGTTGTTTTTATGTATTTTGAAATTCCTATTGATTTCTATTTCAGAGAGCTTGAGGCATAAGTTAAGCGAATCCGTAGTGACAAGTTTACAATGTTCCTGTATCTGACTCGAGTTAGAGGTTGTACCAGTCTTTTTTGCACACACAATTCTGGCTTTTCCAGATCTATGGCTATTGCCTCGGCAATGCAAAGAAGATGCAGTCTAATTGTCCTAGGAAGACTTCTACTTACCTTGTAAATGACTTTGAATTCAGAGTCTGTCTTGATTGAATGACCTGTGTTCACAAGGTGTCCGATTATAGAACTTCTTATTGAGCCGTTGCCTCCTCTTTTTAGCCACGCCGGCATGGAAAACTAGAATTGTGTGTGCAAAAGAGACTGGTACAACCTCTTCTTCTACCATGGTCTTGATGTATTAAAATTTTTCTCTCTTTTTCATACTCTTGTTCCTTTACAGCTATATGCTTCACCTTCCATCTTCCCTTTAAATCTTCTACCCACAACTGGTTTGCTTTTTATTTCCACGATCATTCCGATTACATTTCGTCTCTGTTTCAACATGTTATTTTATCGTGCTCAGCCATCTTTTCCCAATGTTAACTTCCCTATCTATCTTTTATTGAATACTTAAGCTATTAACAATCAAACGATTGTTAAACTTTCCTTGTTTAATACCTTTGTTTATTTAACCTGTCACCATATATAACAGGTTTATTATCAGTATTATCATCCTGTAAAAATAAGCATATATATTTGCGATTGTACAGCTTTGAAAATGAATTCACCGGAAAGAGAACCCTTCGCTGAACTAATCTTTCTTAGTTATTGTCTTAATGGGTGTATTCCGTTTATTAAAACAAAGTGATGCGGAGCGGAGGCGAGTTAGCCAATGCAATTTAATGAAGCATGGCCCGATATTCATGGTCAAACAAAAATACGTTACGGACACAAAATGAATAGGGTACGTAGTTAACACACATGTACTCATATAAAAACAGTCAGATCTAATAAGCGAATAAGTGACAAGGTCAAAATATGACTCCGGAAGAATGAATAGATTAGTCCGTCCAGAAGCTAGAATAACCGATGTGTACTTGACATGGCAACAGTACAAACTATGATAATTAATGAAAAAACACAAATTGTAACAGAAACTAATTACAAAATGACTCTATGTTAACTATCTCCATAGCTTTTTCATAATATATGAGAAGAATATTCGTTGCCTAAGAAATTTCATATTTGTCAGTAATGAGCAAAGTGACTTATTTTTCAGAGGGAGGTTTAAACACTTGGCTTAAATACCTTTGGTTTCATAATTTATCTATAGTTTCACGGAATTTTCAGTCGAGGTGTTTAGCACATTACTTTCAATGAATATTTAAATGTACCGAACTATTAGTAAAAATGAATGGATAAAGAACATGAAAGATGTATTGAATATATCTCACTTCAACAGAGTGATCCAGGACATTCATGGAGGCACAAAAGTTTGTTTGAACCTCGTAAGAACACGATACTTCAAGCTCATTACATGAATTTAATTTTGTCAGATATACACTACCATCAAGGTAATAAAGGACAACCCAAGGATCCTTTATCTATGTGTGTGCAAAATTCCCTCTACTTATGAATTCCAGGAGACCATAAGCTTTTATTACATCCTTAACTCAAATTTACTATTACCAAATCTCTTATTTCTGTATATTATGTGTTACTCTGATTCAATATCAAATTATCATCATACATTTTTACAGACAATTTTAGTTTGTGTCCATTTCATTCCTATCTTATTGTAGTTCACTATTCTGATATGTTTTACTTATTCACATATTTTTGGTAGGTTACATATGAACTCATCGTTTGACTGTTACCACTTAATCCGGTCGATTTTTCCCACCGTTTGTAATAGAATCGGACTACCTGTTTGTTAGAATTTGCAGTGGTGGCATTAGTTGAAACCAAAGTTTATCAAGATTCGGTACCAAGTGGTCGCAAAGGTGTTGGTTCTCAAAGCTGAAAAGAAAAGATTGTTCAGCGGGTTGTGGCTCAGTCTTGCAGGCGTAGTCATTCTGTGTAAACTATACCTTTCCACGTTATATACACTATTTTATCCTCTGGTAAATGTGTTCTACAAAAATGCTAGATGTCCTATTGGGGATTGTCACGGTAGGACGAGTCAGTGTAGACCATGACGTGGCTTCTACGTCAGATTTTATAGACTGGATAGTCAGGCCGTAACAAATGTTTAAAGGTAAATGTACTAATATCAAACTATCCCATAATTCTACATGTTCCACCCTTTTAATGTTTTATTATTGGTATTATTGTTCATAATCAGCCACTAGTTTCGATCACTAGCTCAGTGTATCAGAGAGGATTTTCGCCCCCTGTAGTTGCTAGCAAAAAACGAACTATGTACTAAAGACAAGGTTTTTGACGTTGCGCTTACATAAATAACATGACTTCACATGAACCCAACAGCTCGGCTGAAATATAATCTCCTACTTATTTTTAGGGGAGAGAGACTAGGAAGTTATTTGACAGAAAATATTTTTGCATTCTTGTTCTTCAATCTGTTTGCTATGAACTTGTAGTGATATTACATCTAATCACAATCTTTAAAGGTGAACATGCCAAATAATTTGATATCCGTGCTCTCAAGAACCATGGAAAAAATCATCCACAAACAGCTACTATCATTTTTACTTTCGGCTAGTCTGATCAGCCCATCCCAACACGGGTTTATGACTAAACGCTCATGTTTCACATCACACCGGGAGTTTTTTGATCAAATTACCCAGAAAAGAGATGTTGGTCAGTCAGTGATAATTCTTTACTTCGATTTTAGTAAGGCTTTTGACAGTGTCTCACACAAACTTCTTCTTTTAAAACTCTCTTCATTTGACATACAGAATCCCCTTTTATCTTGGTTCAAATATTTTTTAGAAGAACGTAGCAAATCGTTCGCTTTGGATCTTGCTACTCTAAACCTGTGAATGTAACCAGTGGGGTTATACAAGGAAGTGTGATTGGTCCATTACTCTTTCTCCTTTTTATCAATGACGTGTGTTCCCTCTTTCAGTATGGTAAGCCTTTCCTTTTTGCTGATGACCTGAAAGTAGTATATTCATTCTCTTCTCCTACGAAAGAAAGCTATATTTCAGCGGTAATCCAAGAGGAAATAAACAAGTTGTACGAATGGACTGTTTCTTGGAATATGCCACTTAATGTTGACAAAAGTGGATTTTTTCACATTGGTCGCTGTCTTAACTTAAATCTGACTGTACACACACATACACTCAAACCTCTCACCACTGTTCGTGACCTGCGTTTAAGATATAGCAACAGTCTGAACTTTTCTGAACACATTATATATCAAGTATCCAAAGCTCATCGGATTGATAATGATAAACTTCAATAATATCGAATCGAGATTGTTACTATACAGAAAATGTGTCTTATCCATTCTTGAATATGGTATTTTAGTTTACAGTAATTACAGACATAATGACCTGATTAAAATTGAAGGCGTTCAAAGAAAGTTCACCAAAGCTGTTCTGGGGTATTCCGATAACAAAGACTATTACCAAAGATGTCAACAACTCAACTTAGAACCTCTTTGGATCAGACGTATCAAAATAAATCTTGTCTTTATCTACCGGCTTATTAACGGTATTTCCTACTCTTCGCTATCCATCCCTTCATACCTTATGATATCATCCCACAATCTACGCAATAAGGAGAATATTCTAGCGATTCCAAGAACCCACACAAACTTACGTCAGAATTTTTTCCTTATTCGCTACTCAACCATGTGGAACAGACTGCCAGTGAACCTCCGTTGCAGTGAAATTACAACCCGGTTCAAAAGTCTCCTTGACGATTTTCTTTCCGAAAGTGGATTATGTCACCTATTGAATATCAATGTATTCAATAATCATTTATACAAACAAGGTCCGTCATCCATTTAACTGCTTGAAAAGCAAAATAAAACCTTTAAATCTTTCCACGTCTATTTTATTTTATTTCTATTCATCTTAATATATGAAATCTGCTTATGTTCGTGTTTATCATTATTTCCGTTATTAATATCATTATCAGTTCCCCGACACATTAGATATTCTTTTTATATCTTCTTATCCTTCTAAACATATTTAACTCCAGATTGTTTTTTGAAATCGATTTTGACTTTCATAGCATCAATCTTAATTATTATTGCACAAATATTTATACTAATACTCGGTTTCACTCTGTATACTATTACATAAATCTAAATGTATTCATCCGAGTGCTTTAACGGATTTTTATTTTATTTTTTCAATTGCTGGTTTCCTTCTGAGGTTGATATTCACTACACAATTATTATTCTTATCATGGATCAAAACTTTTCACTAAGTGTTCACTTCTTTTCTCTCTTCTTTCCCTCTAAATAAATATTATTCTTAAGATTACGAAGTTTGTGATTAAGACAATAACTTGTGTTACACTTAAATCGAATTCTCAGACCCGTTTTATCTTCACTATGCATATATGACTCATACATGTTGATATTTTATTATCCTCTTCATTTAACTGTAACTTTCATAGCATCACTCGAAACTATAACTGCACAAACATTTATTCTAGCGTCATATCTTACTGCAATTATAAGTTATTTTTTCTTAATTATTTTTGTTACTAATTTAACGATACACACATAGTCGTTTATTCTTGTTCTATGTTCGTAAACACGCCCATTAGACTGTTTGCGTATTTCACGT